TCTATTTACTTCTCACTTTATTCTCTATAATTCCATGTTACCATTTCTTATTTGTCTCTACTTGTATAGCTAGAGATCGACTTAGACATTGGAGAACTAAGGAAACTCGCAATTTTAGTAACTTTTGTGTAGGATCCATGCCCATTAAACCCGTTCGACAAATCAAAAAGTTATCTCATAACAAGTTCACACTCCCAATATGACAATACCTATCTCACTAAATTCTGCAAGATAAAAACGTTAAATAAAATCACTTGTTTTAATCGTCTGCCGTGTAATTACGGACTACAAATTATGACCCTTTGGTATGAATACTCTTTTCTTTTCTTTTTTTATAAGAAGAATACTCTTTTCTCTATACCGCAACATAAGTGAGATAGAGTGATCTAGTCAAACTTAAGTAGTAGGCAAATCTCTTAGTAATTCAAAGGGTTATAGGTATAATATGCATCTCTGCTATGATATTTTATCAAACATGCTCCTGTAATTTGGAAATATTATCAAACCTGCCCTTCAGTTGAAATTTTCATTGAAAAAATCGTCAATCATGGTTGAACCGAGATTTAGACGACCTGACATCGATAAATGGGAGGGGAAATGTCAGTTTTGACCCTTCTTTTATTTCTCCAGGTCTCGTCAAAGTGAAATTATCAGAATTATTTGGCTATACAAAAGAAATAAAAAAACTATAAAGTGAAATTATTAGAGATATTTTAGATATTTGGGTCGCCCAAACCAAAGTTCGGTCTTGGTTAACGGTTTTTGGATGAAAATTTTAACAAAAGGGCATGTTTGATAAGTTTTCCAAAGTACAGAGACATGTTTGATGTAAAAAGTAGTAGGGGCATGTTTGATAAAACATCATAGTAGAGTGGAATATTATATCGATAACCCTAATCTTTGGATAGGTTATTTATCAAATGCCTTTTTATTACAATGGGGTGGTTTTGCCGAGGAGGGAATTTGGGATAAATTATTCATTTTAGAAAATGATTTGCTTGGTTGAAGAATGTGTCCAAAATTTGCCGATTGGAATGGACATTTGTCGTAAAACTAATATGGAGGAACAAACAAAAACTGAATTATGCTTCTATACCCAAGAGCTCAAGCAGATTTAGTCCACAAGTCCCCAGCTTAATTACCATAGCTATTAAGGACAAATTTGGTATGATCCTTTTAATAAATCATATTTTAAAAAGTTAGAAAATATATTAATTTAAATTCTTTTATCTTTCTCTCACTTCGTTATCTCCAGGCATATTCTCTCTATTTTTTTCTTAATCTTTTCTTTGTCTCTTTTCAGCCGAACTAATACTACTATAAAAATAAAACAAGGAATCAATATCAATCCATTGAATAAAAACTATCAATTCATAAAAACACTAATATCATTCTAGAAATAAATCAAGGAATCAATACCAAAACATAAAAAAAAACTACCATTACAGTCTGCACAAAACACTACCACTATCGCAACATATACCACTTATGAAAACATGTATACTATTATGAAAATATCAAATCTAGAATCCAGTCGAGGGTTGCCGACGCCTCCCCGACGCTGCACAAGCGACATATCATTGGTGATAGGTCCTCGCTGGGTAGTGAGACAAAGAGAGGGGGAGGGGAGACAGCCTAGTTGTTCTGCTAACTTGAAGATTCGTTAGTATATACTAACTAATATCCAAAATGTATGACTAATAGTCAAGTTTGCTAAGTATCTAGATAGCACAGACTAGTATTCAAAACATCACAAACTAGTATCCAGATAGCATATACCAACTAATATCCACAATCAACCAACTAGTATTCAATATGGATACTCTTATGGGTTATCTAGATACTCTTCTGTGTTATCTGGATACTAATTATGTGCTATTTGGATACTATTCTGTGTTGTCTAGATATTAGTTTGTGAATTTGGGATATCCGTTAGCAAACTTTGAATACTAGTCTGTGCTCTCTAGATACTTTAGTACTTGGATATTAGTTCATGTATTTTGGATATCAGTTGATATATGCTAACGAATCTTCAAGTTAGATGATTAACTTTCCCCGGAGGGGAGAAGGGCAGGCGGTGGGTGGGGAGGGAGAGCGGATTAGGTGCATAACCTTGTGGTCAATAACTATGCATAACCAAATAAGAATTTGCCACGTCAGTGCCTCTTCTCTCTCCTAGAAAGTCTTAATTTTTCCCCTTTAATCTTTCACGGTCGATTTTTCACATGTTTTAAGTTGAAATTTAAATATTTTTGCACAGTTAGAACAGATTAATTGTGCTCTTCAAAATTATATCCACTTTTATATATTTTTGGAACAAAAAAATTAAGCCATTTTTTACTAGTATATTACATATGGTATTGACTGGTATTGAAATAAGAGCATATCATATGGTATAAAAAGCGTACTATGGTGGTATGAACATACCAAGACTGTATGATGGTTGAATGCATGATAGTAGGAGTATACTGACTGCCATTTAGGACATTCAACATTGTGTACCACAAGATACCACCCCGTACCAGGGTAGTGTTGTGTGATATTTTTTGGTCCTGTATATTGTTCACCCAAAAATTTGTAGATCCAATAGATCATGATGAACTCGTTCCTTCTGTGCAAAAATATTCAAAAGCGACTTCAAAACGAAGAAGATACCATATGGTATGCAGTTGGTAACGAGAGACAAGAATTTTTCTTTCTCAAAAAATATTCACAATCGATATCATTTTGTAGAGCACAACGAACTCATTCCATCTGTGCAAAAAAAAAAAATTGAAATCCGAGTTAAAACGAAGAAGATAAGAGTTGATTAAGAAAACAAGGGAAAATAAAAAATGCATTTAATTCTCCACTCTTAGATCTGGATTTTCTAAATAAAATGTCCAGATTTAGTTACTCATGGTCATGGGTGCATAACCATTATGCACCGTATCTTGAGTCGTGGGAAGGAGGGCGGGGGCGGGGAGGGACGACGAGGGTAGGCGGTACTTCACCGGGGAGAAAGAGAGGGTGGGAGAAGGGTGTGGAGTTAGATTTTAAAGAATAATAAACACATGTGGTATTTTTTCGTTTTCTAAACTATCCTTTCAGGAATATTGATCGTTAATTTAAAATGTTAATTTACAAAGGAATTTATTGGGATTTGAACATTGGTTATTGAAATGACAAAAAAGAGCATTATAACCAACTAGATTGCGTACATTGTATTTGGATTTTTATTTCGTTATTATCTAGGCAAACAGCTCTTCAAACCTCCGGCTTGTTCCTCCAAATTTAATCGGACATCTCTCTCTCCTAGAGGTGGCAAATGGATTGGATTTATGGATTGGTGGATTCATGGATTGGATCAAGTGGATTGGTGGATTGATCCATAAATCCAAATGACCTCCATGTCTTGGACCAAAATGTAAATTTTGAAAAGTTTAGGAACTAAATGTCATAATGAAAATTTTCAGGTGCCAAAACGAAATTTGCAATGATATTTTCCTATAAAAAATAAAATTTAAGTACCAAAATGTAAGATATAAAAAGTATAGGTACCACACTGTAATTTGTCATTTGGACTCATAGATCAATCCATGAATCCACCAATCCAATTGGATTTGGATAAACTGAATTCGATTAGATTGATAATTTGGTGGATGTATTGAATTGAATTGATAGATATGGATCTATTTTCCACCTCTACTCTCTCCATATTGAACTCAGCAGAGCTTGCCAAATAATCCTATCTATAGCAAAAAAATCTCATATTTTATGAACGAACCAAGCTTATTTAAGTGAATTTTCATGTCGGTCGTGAGAGATTGGAATCAGATTGTTGAATCTTTCTCATATCAGCACAGAGGAGCAGTTAGCAGACTTGTTCACGAAAAGCCTGTATGTTGATCGTTTCAATTACTTGTTGAGCAAGCTGGCAATGCACAACAAGTGTGTGCCAGCTTGATGGGGCGTGTTAAAGGAATCAGTGAATAGTTGCTCTTAGGGCTTTTCATATGGTTTTGGTTTTTTGGTTTTAAGCGAAATCAAACTAATTGGAAAGCTAATGGTTTCAGTTTTTCGGTTTTAAACCAATAAGCAACTTAATGGTTTTGATTTGGTTAAAACTGAAAACCAATAGAAATCATTAAGAAACCAATAAGAACAAAATTATTTATCAACAAATATTTTTTTTTTGTTTCTTTTGACAAGCATGCCAACCAGTAATTTGTAATGACCATTTATCTTTATTATGACGTTTATTCAATAAAAAGGAGGGGAATGGGAATAAATAGGAGTGTATGAGTACATGTTGGTTTTTTTGTTTTTGGAATTTAGGCCTTGTTTGCTTAATGGATTTCATCATGGATTTGGTACATAAAAACCAATCATCATGGACTTTGTACACAATCCATCGTTTGCTTGATGGATTTAGCAAAGACAAATCCATGGGGCCCATAGTGTTTTAGAGTCCAAATCCGTGGACCCCACGGACTTGAGAATTTCACCCAAAGAGGTGGGATTTGTGTTGGGGTACAAAATCCATGATTACTTTTTACAATTTTAACCCTACTTGTTGCACTAATCACCAACTTATCCTCTTTCATTTACTAATGGCCAACTTGTTGTGCATATTGATTTTGCATTCAATATTTATTATTATTCCACTACATGGAAAGAGTTAAAAGAGATAAACTACCTTCTACTATATATAATAAATTGTGATGATCAAGAAGTTGAATGTTACCACCTTTGAGAGGAAAGATGTCTCGTGCTGTGAGTTCATCGTATTGCATATACCCTACGAGGCCGCAAGTTGAGGACAGTCCAGAAGGAAGCGTGCTGGACCCCCAGCAGTACTTCACTTCAACTTTTCAATAGCTCCATAAATGGCTGCAAACTATAGCTCTGCGTGGCATAACAGAGAGCAGAAGGGTCTTGAGTGGCATGCTTGCCAACTCATCAGGAATCGCCTGGAACTGGAAACTGTTAAGACACTTCACAGCGTCAGACCCTCTGACTCAAACCAGCCGCCTGTGGTTATGTTTGATGTTGACAAAAGCTATGTGGAAGGTTTTGGAATGCAAGAGCTCGGCCAGTTGCATGAATGGGTTGACATGGCCTTGTGCTGAAAATGGCTGCAGAACTGCTTGTGGCCTCTGCTGCTGAGTTTCTGTAGTTGAGCACCTCATATCTCGCTGCTCAATATGGCGCTATTCTGCTTAAACAGGAAGACGTCTCTGTAAATGTAATGGCCGCTCAATAAGCAGAGGGGCGGAAAAAAAACATAGACTAACAGAAGAGTCGATTCAGATTCTAGTTCAGCTGATCACTTCAGTCAGCCGGACTTCTCTAACGCTTTTGGATCGAGCGGCCAACATCAGAGCACGCGAGCCGATGTCCAGAGCAACAATTGCTGACTTTTGGTGCGTGTTTCCTTTGAAATGCCAGGCAAGAATTACGTGACACGAAGCATTAGAAACAATAGTCATATCTCACATATAACATTTGCATTCATTCCTTGATAAAAATCATGTTTACATTCATGCCATGTAATAGCATCGCTAAGAATGCTATCAATCAATGACAAAAAGAGATGCAGAACTGGTGGGTGCGTATACTGTTGCCGCCTTCAGTTTCGAAGAGAAGCATCATTCCTATAAAAATTATAATCAAGCATCGTGTTGAACGATTACGGTTGTGACCATAGCTGAGGGGCGCTACATGCATACAAGCTCAAGAATTTCATCAATTCTATTCAATGGGGTGAATGTGATTATTTACTTAGCAGCAACTGCATTCTGAAGCAACAACTCTAGATCTTGTAACCTGCAAGGGAAGGGGGAAAATTCCCATCGTGTGTAAACTATCAAGTAAAAAGGAGGGAAAGTATAACACGACATAACCTTGAGTGCAATCAGCCATGAATCCACATACCTCACATTGCTTAAATCAGGGTACAATGCTATGGCATCTTTAAAATCCTGTGAAAGTTTGCACCGAAAAATCATTATTAGCCTCTCTTCTGAAGATTAAGCAATGTCATATATCACATTTCCTTCCATCGTACTTCTAAATGTAATGACATTCAGATATATGAAGAGGAGCAACCTGTTTTGCAGTTGAATTTGTGTATGTAATTATACAGGACATTCCAGCACCTTTTGCAGCCTGCAAGAACTCCATTTTTGGTTAATCTCTGATCTTCGCCTTCAACTAATCAGTTATGTTTCGGTGTTTCTGTTTGTATATGCATACACCTTAAAGAATATCTCTGCTACCAGTTTGAAAATAATTTTCTTGCAGATTAGTTACTAGATTAAGTTGACAATAAGAAACAGCACAAAAGAAATGGAGTAAACCTGCAAACCGATGACACTATCCTCCACCACCAAACAGTCTTTCTCGGACACACCTAGCCTCTGCATCAAAGTTAGATCCCCAGTCAAGATTAGCAAGTCCAAGTAGAAGTACAAGACACTGAATCAAAATGTAAAAGGCAAGAACAGCTGAACTACCTTGAGGGCTGTCAAATAGATGGATGGATCAGGCTTCTTTTCCTTCACATCATCACCTTAACAGTGGAAAGCAAATAAAGAGCTCTTAGCACCAAAATGAGAGAACGCACTTATGAAAGACATTGCTAAAGTCCTTAACAAGAACTGCCAAGTAATACCAACCAATTTACCTGCAAGAAAGCAGTCAAGACCTTGAAACCGCTCCTGTGTTATTTTTACAGAAAACAAAGAATCAGCACCTGAAGCGGTATGAATTGGATGAAGCTTGTAACTTTTGACCTACCATGCCTATGAGGTTCTCAAGACACATGACAACTGAACTTTTAGTTGCCGCTGAGCAAACAGCTAGCAGTTTCCCCTACAAGCACCGATTCCAATGAATCAGCAGGAGAGCATCATTCTTTAGATACTGAAGTAAGAGCTGTGATGACCCAATCAACCAAAATATTGAAAACGGTACAGGTGTATGGTTCTGGAGGGTTAACACACAACAAGTTGCCATGATTAACACTATGAAAACGGCCAACTTAATCTTACAGAAGCCTTGGCCTCATCCATCAACCGCAAAACTCCTGGCCTGGGTTCCACCTGATCAGACAGACACACCAGCCTATAGTAAATACAACTGGGTAAAACCAAAACAAAACCATAGTAAAGGTAAAAGGAACGTTTCGACGGGCGGTCCTTACAGTTCCAGACTTGATTATTTCCTTGTACCTTTCAGTTTTCCAGTCCTACAAATCACAAACCTCAAGCACGGGCAATGCAATTCAGAGAAATTTCCATCTCCGATTCCCTGATAAACAACCCATTTTAAAGTTTAAACGCAGCAGTGGAGACATTAATCACCTGAATAGTGTCAATCAACTTGGCTCGGCTGTCGTCATCGTCAGGAGGAGTAGGAAGGACTGTTGATGACGGCCATCCATGCTCCTTAAAGTACCTAAACAAAACCAAAACAAATAATAGACCCCAAAGGCGAGAAATTGGGAAAAAGGAATTGAACAAGAGAAAGGGTAACAAACCATGGATTACCATCTCATTTTGGGTTTGCCGCCCCCGATGCGGTTCTGGAGGACATCATAGAAACCGACGTCCCAATTGAGAGGCTGAGGAGAGTCCGGGGAGCACCGGACATTGAAGTAAGCAAAAGCGTCATTGTAGGCTTGGCGGTGAAGGTCCTCGGATTCGAGGATCACTCCATCGCAATCGAAGATTAGAGCTTTGAGAGCTGAATTAGCTGAAACGGTGAGGCGTTTCCCGCCGGCGGGGAATGGGTATCGGGTTTTGGCACTGGAGAGTTGGTTGGTGGGAAGAAAGGAAGATGGCCCAGAGGAGAGGAAGGAAGATGAAGTGAAATTGAGGTGATGGGTAATCGTACCGGCCATGATGAACAAACTGCCGGAAAGAAAATGTGTTGTTACAATCTGTATTGCTTTCGGGTTCGTTGGGGCTGGTGCTGCCGGAAACAAACTGCTCCGCCAGCTCCTTTTGGGATGGATTGGTTTATCACCAGAGCCACAAGACTATCAATCTTATTGTAGTTGACAGTTTTTTAATTTTATTTTATTCTATAGCGGTTATAAGATTGGTTAAAGGCGCCAACGGGTGGGTAGGTTTTGATTCACGCGCCGTGGGATGGGATTAGGTGCTAACCCTTATACGGGTTAGCACCGTGATAACTAGAAAAAAACGCTACTAAAAACAACGAAATCACTACGGATTATTATAAAATCAATACAACATCTAAGCTAAATCACTACTAATCCTTGGTTAGGACGGTGCTAACTCTTGTACAATTAGCACCGTAACTCCTCCCAGACGCCGTGGATAGTAATCAAGACGCAATGGGATCTGCAAGGCCCATGGATATATGGACATCTTCAAATCCGATACTAGAAAGAAGACTCGCAGACTCGCAAGGAAGATGAATGAGGCTCTCATGGCTCCAGTGACTCCCGGTGAAATAAAATATACAATTTTCCATATGGGGCTCTTAAATCTCCATGTTCGGATGGTTTTACGGGTTCTTTTTCGTTCTTTTTGGCCTATTGTGGCGATAGTGTGATCAACATTGTTACTACTTTTTTTTTTTTACGACTGGCAAGCTTCTAAGGAACTTTAACCATATTTGGTTAACCCTCATTTCAAAAGTGATATGGTTGAACAAATTTCCCAATTACGACCTTTTAACTTGTGTCGATTTCTCTATAAGGTAATAACCAAGATCATGGTTGTTCGGTTGGGAAAGATTTTGCCACATTCAGTCTCTCCCGAACAAAATGGTTTTGTTCAAGAAAGACAAATTGTTAAAAATGTTCTCCTTGCTCATGAGCTAATGCACTACATAAAAACAAGAGACAAGGGAAATTAAAGTTTATGGCCATCAAACTTGACATGGAGAAGGCATACGATCGCAGTAAGTGGTTGTTTCCTTTTTCTGTCCTGCGGAAGATGGGTTTTGCGGCTGATTGGATTCATTGGGTCAATGGTAAACCTTCCGGGTACTTCCCATCCACTCGTGGATTACGACAAGTTGACCCGCTCCCTCCTTTACTTTTTGCTATGTGTTCGGAAGGTTTTACCACTATGATCAAAGAAATGATTGCAACGCGCGAACTCCAAGGAGTCCGGGTTGCTCCTTCTTGTCCACCGGTCTCACCTTCTCTTTGCGGATGATTATTTTTTGTTCCTACGTGCTTCACGTCAGAATGGGGAAAATCTTATGAGATTACTTCATGACTATGAAATTTTAAGTGGGCAACGACTTAATTTGGTCAAGTATGCGGCTTTCTTCAGTCCCGATATGGATTCTAATTCGCAAGCTCTGTTGGGATCGCTTTTTGGAGGGGGGTCTATTGGTTTGCTTGATAAGAACCTAAGTCTGCCTTCTTTGATTCATAAATCTAGAAGGAAACATTTCGCTTGGGCGAAGAGAAATTGATGACGGTGTTGCAGGGTTGGAAAGTCCGCTCTCTTTTGATTGCTGCACGGGAGGTTCTTTTGAAATCGGTGGCTACAGCTTTACCAATTTATGTTATGTCGTTTTTCTGGATTCCAAAGAATTTGATCTGTCGTCTGAACGCCCACATGGCTCATTTTTGGTGGGGAGCTACGCCAGGACAGAGGCGGATACATTGTATTGCTTGGACAACTCTGTGTAGCAGTAAGCACGAAGGAGGTTTGGAATTTCGAGATTTTGGATGCTTTAATCAAGCGTTGCTTTCCAAGGTGGCATGGCGTATCCTCACTGAACCGTCATCGTTGCTAGCAAGGGTCCTCAAAGGTAAATATTTTTCTTATTCTCCGAGTTTCCTTGATGCTCATTCTAGGTCCAACCCGTCCTGGGGTTGGCATAGCATCTTGCATGGTCGGGCTCTTCTCTCTCAAGGCTTACGTTGGCAAATTGGGTATGGACTTTCAATTCGAGCTTTTGAGGATGCTTGGTTACCAACTTCTCCTCCTTCGGTCCCTACTCGTCGGGTAGGTGCTCCCTCTTTTTCACCTTTTGTTTTGGCATTCATTGATCCGAGCTCACGTACTCGGAATATAGCGACATTGGGTTTGTTCATCTCTTCGGACATCATTAAGCTCATCACCTCTATTCCTTTGCCAAAAATGATTGTTCCTGACAAATTAGTATGGCATTATGATTCTATGGGGATCTTTCAGGTAGAATCTGCTTATCATCTTGCCTATAGTACTAATCGTTCTTTGGAAGGTCGAGCGAGGGTTCATCAAGTTGATCATGCCATGTGGATGTGGTTATGGAATTTAGAAATGTCACCCAAGGTAATTTTCTACTTATGGAAGTGTTTGAATCAGATCCTCCCAACGAGGGAGGCTCTTGTTAATAGAAGGCTTGATATTCTACCTGTTTGTCTGGTTTGTGGCATAAGAGTTGAATCCTTGGAGCATTTATTTTTCACTTGTCCCTTTGCGTGTCGATAGTGGAGGTTGGTGGGTTTTGGTGTGCATTTGAGTTCTTGGGATAATAGATCATTTGTAGGCATGGTTATGGCGGAACTATTTGCGAGGGACAAGGAGCACATTAGCCCTTATTTTGTTTTGCAGGTAGTTACCATTTTCTGGCGAATTTGGAAGAATAGATGTGCTGCTCTTTTTGATCATCAGAAATTTTAGATTGAGATGCGTGCTGCGAAATGGCAGCACCAAGTTTGTGAGATTGATGAAATCCTGTTGGTTTCGTTTGCTACTGGTTCTCATGGATCTGTCGTTCTTTCTCCACAAGACCACTACACGCAGCAGAGTAGCACCAGTTTTTTTGCTTCCTTTGATGGGGCAACTGGGGTTCACGGTTCTGGTTCAACTGCTTATGTTCTTGAGGATGATCTTCATTCTCCAGGTTGCGTCGCTGCTACGATGTACCATGTGATTAATGATCCTCATGTGCTAGAAACTTTAGCACTTCGGGATTGCATTCGGGCTGCCATATATTTTGATAGCTGGTGATGCTAAAGTTATCATGGGAAAATGTTTGGCTCCAGAGTTCAATGATGTTAAGGTGGGTGCAATTCTGTGGGGGATTGCGGCTTTGTTGGTCAATGATGGTGGTGGTTTTGTTCTGCGTTTTGTGGGACATGCTCGAAACAGAGAGGCTCATTTAGTGGCCTGAAAATCGCTGAGTTTGTCACCTCGGCTTTGTTTCCTCTCTCTGATAGGGATTGAATGGCCATGAAAAAGGTATTTTTCTTGCCACAATCTTTACCCAGGTGGTCTAATATGAAAACTCGCAAGGTATGTTTCTTGCCAAAGAAAGAAGAAGTGCAAATCTTGAACATGCTTGAAAATCACCCCTTCACCAATCTAATAGTTCAGCCAAAGGGATTGAAAATCTTGAAGTCAAGTTGATGATGGATCAGCAATGAAGCTCGGAAACGGATTGGGGCACGAACAACCGAGATGTTGGGAGGAAGTCTGGGCTGGCGCTCAATGCTAGAAGACAGCCCATGCCTTTTCTTTCTAACCCGCTATTTACTATAGGAGAGGTTGCGACGGTCTCAGTGCAACAACTATTACAAAGGACAAGGGCCATTTCCCATCCCCCGAACTCTTGGACAATCATTGTTGCTGCCATTACCTTAACTGCTCACACCTTTTACTATATATTACCATCATATCCATCACCAACAGACTTACAATGCTAAGAAGAGGAAGAGGAAGAGAAATAGATGACACTTCAGAAGAAATCACATTAACATATTCAGTGATAACTTCTGGATCACAATTTATCATAATAAACATTAAGATATGAACTAGTGTTTTTGGCTCAAACTTTCACTGAATTTTCTACAATTGTAAAACGTAACTAACTACAGGATGGAACACGTATAAAAGAAAATACATGCTACAAATACAACAAAAGGGTGTAATCGGCCACTTTTATAGACACAATTGCTAGCCATAATTGAACATACAACCAGCTTCTTAACTTTTTACTATTGTCACACTCACCTTGTAAGCTACAAGGTTGTGCCCCTACTACCAGGCATAAGTGATGATGTAGCAGCTGCAGCAGTAGGAACAACCTCAATTGGAATACCTAGCTCTGATAAATGCAAACGGATGAAACACACCCAAAAAAATGCCCAAATATTTTGGAAATAGTTAGATGCCCGTCAAGGACTTTAAATTGAATTTCCCTTAGAACTTAATTGTATGCACAGAGTATTGTAATACTTATGGTGCAAGATATTCACAGAAAGACGAGACTGCAACAACTACTTCAGAATAATTTTTTTGGTGTTGTTGGGGTTGTTACTTCAACAAGATGTATACCAGGGGTTATAGGTACAACCTCATTTGTTGTGTGCAGTTTCAATATCTTGTTAATAAATGACACAGTAATAGTTATTTGAGCACTCATTTGAAAATGGAAGACAAATCCAATTCATAGTAACTCGTTCTCCGGCTTGTAACCAAGACCATAAAACAAACGAAACACTTTCTTGCTTGCTTTGCTCTCCACCAAACTCCTTACAAGGACAATAATCTGGTCACACCACCTTCAATATGTTTAACAGTCCTACAACTTAAGGCATTTCATAAGCAATAAGAACCGGAGGATGAAAAAAGGAACACAAATGGAAAACCATGAATCACAAAAGAGGCAATATCTTACCAAGTGGTTTCAGAATGCTCAAGGTCGCACAAGAGTCAAAATTCAAAAGTAATAGGTCGTGCAAAAGGAACACCATGCACATTCCATAAGATAGCCACATCCAAACGAGAAAATGTTCAACATCACCTAGTAGCCTTACTACAAAAATCATGAACTCGGGAAAAAGGATGGCAATGCACAACATCACACTTGCATGTTCCTGAAACAAACTTACAATAACTAGATCAACTAGCAAAAGTAAGGAAAATATTATATAAGAAGGGAACACTAGGAAATTAACTAAATTTGATAATGAAATCTCAGAAGTAACAATTTAGGAGTTCCAAACTAAGTCAATTGATAGAGTAAAAGTTGGTCAAGTTTAACACCAATATGTATAAGAATCGAGTCACCGTATTTTTCTGCCAAAAATCACCAAGATTAGGATCACTTCTGAGGCAGAACTCATGGAACCTCAAACGCTCTCTGTGAACTCCACAAAGATCCTACAAAATTATCTCTAGCGCCTCCACATGCTTCAAAAGGATTCAAGCAAAAAAAACTGATTTGTCAATTAGCATATAGAACCGAGCAACTTCAAAGAAGAACCCTTAGTTCCAATACATTATTTCAAAAAAGAACCCTTCCAGAGCTCTTAGTCAAATCCAACATCAACACTCAATAGTAATGGAGAAAAGCACTTACCTAAGTCTTGATTATTCCTTGAACCACACACTCCATTAAAAGTTAGGTATGATATGTATGAAGATTCTTCAAGCTTTGGTTCCCTCCACAAACAAAACAACCAAACTTAGCCACTGAAGAAGTTTCTAAAGAAGAGCTGCATTAGAAATGACACATAATACAAAGCTTCAGTGATAAAATAAAAATGCACGAAGGCTAGAAGCTCAAGTATATTGGAGGGTCTTATTCCATATTTCCATCAATTCTATAATGCCATAATGAATTAACATCGTGCGCGAGAAACAAGAATCACCAGTAATCTCAGCTTAAGCCTAATTTTATTTTATACTTTTCTAGTCAATAATCAAAAAAAGACATTGAGTGTCTCGAACTTGAAGCTTACGAGAAAATACTAGTGTATCAAGATTTTGCACGGAAAAATCTCAATGGGAACAGCGAGAGCTTTACTTCTTAAAAATAAACTTATTAAGAGGGCAACACTTCAAAGAACTCACCTAAGGAAGCACAGAACAATTGAAATCCAGCAGAAGCTTGTTCAACCGGGAGTCACGAGTTGCCAATGGTGGCGCTTGTGATAGGCAGCGAATTGTCGATTAGACCTCCTTTTCTCTCCCTTCCAATCTATTCAGTAAAGAGTGAAGTCTAGAGCCTCCCTCTTTCCATCTCTGTCCTTCACTATTCCTTTTCCTCTTTCCCGTCGTTCCTTTGCTAGCTCCCTCGCTACTTCAATAGGTTAATCACAGTTTAGATTATGTACTAACCATAGATTACACACGACCTCTCAACTAAAATTATTCTCTTAAATCCATATTTTATGCAATATTTTATTTGAAGCCATTTTTTAAATAATAACAAGACATAAAAGTTAGAAAGAAACCTACCCGCCCAAAGCAACACCTTAGTGAATCCACCTTACAAAATTTAAGGTAGTTAACTTTAAAAAGAACAACAACAAGGCTTTACGTGCCACTCTATGAGCAGCCCAGTTGTTATTTTGCCAAACCACTCTAAAACCTATACAATGAGGACACAAAATTAGTAACCAATGACACTCTCCAAGCAGAATCTCGCCAAGCAAATCTACCACCAACCCCTCACCAAGTTGCCGAATCACCACTTCAAAATCACCTTCCACGACAAGTCGGCGAAGACTTCTTGAGACCACAATTGAAACAACATATCTAGAAACAAGCAATTCTACGAGGTAGGAATCAGGCCCTAAGGCCAGCAGAACATGCATGTCCACACTATGCATAACAAGGCCAGATGTGCAACACGAGTCTTGGATGGCAACATCAAAGTTTTATGAAATTTGGGGCGGACATTCGCATACGCTTTATTTCGGAGAAGGGGAATGTATTTAGGAGTGTGGGATGGTTGAAAGGCAGAGGATAATTCGAGGACTTGGAAGGAGAATTGACAAGCAAGAGAACGGGCATGCGGATGAGTGTACTCAAATATCACTTTAGTACAAGATTTCCATATTCTCCATAGTAGACAAACACATTGGAGAATGTGGATTGGAAAGTTTTCGGTAAGCATAACATTACGCCACCATAAACTAATATTCACAGTTGGGGCGGACGCAAACAAATTGCTTAATGTCACAACAATCCATAGTTTGATTCCTAGGGTGCAATGGAAGAACAAATGCTCAATACTCTCTTGATGTTCCCAACAAACAGGGCGTTAGAGAAGAGAATTTACCCATCGGGATTCAAGAGCAACCATTGTGAGTAGTACCACCTTTAGGCACTGGCATAGAAAAATATTTCAAATCAAAGGGAATTTTGACCGCCCAAGTCCTTTTCCAAATAAGGGTGTCAATAACCCGAGTCAAAGCTTTTCAAATAGAAATCAAAATAGACTCAACAGCTATGTGATAGCCTGTTTTAACTAAATAGACCCCATTACTGAATTGGAAGATTTTTAGTAACAAAATAATTTTTATTTGATTAAGGAAACTTTTTATTATTGTAGATTTTAATAATAATTATCGTATTACTCATAATGGTTTCAATTCATTCATAACCGATGTACTTTAAAGACATTAAATATCCACTCACAATAGCACCATAATTTCCAAGAATGGAGGACCTACACTAACCCTTAAAATGACAAAATGTAATTAGAAATTAAGACCCAAAAGAACCAAATAAGGATGCATTTACGATGAATTTATTGTCCAATGGTTCGGTGAACCAGCTCCAATGAGCTTCAGCGATAGGAATGGCAATGGGGCAGCTCCGAGGCGGGTATCTCGATACCCATACCTGTCCCGTGGCAGGTCAGGTCCAGGTCAGGTAATTTATCACGGGGCGCGGGTCGGGACAGGTCGACCCAATGAGTATAAAATTTATGTGAAAAAACATTAGAAATATTCGTTATTTTCATTAAAAGACCAAGGAAGAAACCATAATATGATGAAATGTAGTTAAATTATTGGAGAAATTAAGGTTTTCACTTATTTACGAGTTTATTATAGCTAAAATATGAGGTAATAAAAGGAAAATCCTAAATAATTAGACTAAGATTACATGTAATTTAGGCAAGAACGGGTCAAGAATGGGGCGGGTTGGGGCAGGTCAGGTCGATGGGAGGTACCCATGCCCGCCCCGCCCCGCCTACGGGGCGGGTCTGACCCACTCCAAAGCAGGTCAAACAGGTCGGGTAAAACGGGTCGGGTCGAAATTGCAATCCCTATTGAGCGATAACTAACACAACCACGACAAAATCTAGACGTTGACACTTGATAGAATTCATAGGCATACAGCTCCAAGAAAAGGGAAGAATATACGATCAAGGAAGGATTGGAATCACCACCCACATGTCATATCAACGAGAATCGTTGTTTTCGGGCCACAAAATAGGGGGTTGACAAGCTAGGAAAGATTTGAGGTGACCAATTGTTGAAAATTATTCAACTTAACCAATATTTGTAAAGGACGTGTAATACTACTTAGTGTGTAGTCGATTAGGGTTCGGGTGTTTATTGTCTTTTCCCTATTAGCCGAGGTGCTGATCATAACCCTAGCTAATTAGTTGGACAGGGTTATATATATATATGTAACTTGTAATCGGCTGCCGCTAAGTAAGTAAGAAGCTGAGATAGCAAAACTTCTCCGTGGAGTAAGCCCATTCACACCGAATGAGAAGAACCACATAAAACCTTGTGTCGTGTGTGTGTTTTTCGTGTTTGGAATTCTTTCATGGTATCAGAGCTGGTTCGATAAACCAAGCTTCTTGTTGTGGGTGATAAAGTCGTGGTCAACGGCGGCAGTGGGGGAAACAGCGTCGTGCCTCCCGTTATTCCTGCTGCCTTGAAGATCCAAGCCTCCGATAACCCAGGTCAATTGTTTGTGGGGGAGTTGCCGAATGACTCTAATTATGGAGAGTGGATCACGGATATGACAGAAGCCCTAATTGCGAAAAACAAATTAGGAATTGTTGACGGTGGCATCGTTAAACCCGAAGCTGCGGGTGAGCTGCGAGAGGCGTGGCTCCAATGCGATGCCCTTGTCAAAGGCTGGCTGAAAACAGCCATGGACAAGAAAGTTCGGAGCTCGATTCGGTAAGCTAAAACAGCGAGAGAGATGTGGGTTGATCTAGAAGCGCGGTTCGGACGTGGTTCCGCACCCAGAGCTTATGAGCTCCGCCAACTGATGAGTACGTTGCGCCAGGAGAAGCTTACGGGTTCTACCTTTTTCACAAAGTGGCGGGCGATTTGGGAAGAGATATAAACCATTACCCCTATACCCCGCTGCACGTGTGGTCTGTGTGTTTGTGAAATCGACAAGAAGGTCATGAGTAACTTGGAGAATGATCGACTTTTTGATTTCCTTATGGGGCTTGGAGATGTGTTTGGGACTGTCAAGACCCAAATTCTCTCCATGAAACCAACCCCTACTCTAGCTGAAGCCTATCGGCTGGTCTCCACAGAGGAACAACACCGGCAAATTGTGGCAAACAGGCGTCCAGCAGTCGACGCAGCAGCCTATCAAGCCCGCCAGGATCGTGTGCCCATGGACCCTCACAAACGGGACGAGAGACCTCGGGACGAAAGGGCTCGCAGTGCTGATCGCCGGGAGCGGGTTCCGAGATGCTGCCACTGCCAAAAGGCTGGTCACACGAAGGAGACGTGTTATGATCTCATCGGCTGGCCGGAGAAGCGTAGTCGTTCAAGAGAACGTGGACGCGAGCGGGAACGTGATCGTCCTGCCAAGCCCAGTCACCCTCGCCCTGCTCAGTCGTCTGTTGGGCCAGGTATTTTTATCCCTGGTTTGAATTCCGATCAGGTACAGCAGCTCTTGGATTTTCTCCATCAGAGTAGCGGTCAGGCCACCCAACCCTCTTCTTCCAAACCGCAAGTGAATATGGCAGGTAAATCTTTCTCGTCGTCTGAATGGATCATTCATTCGGGTTGCAACGAGTATTTAACGAATGATGGATCCATGTTAGAGAACTCTACTGAAGTTTCTGGTTATCTGTCGGTAAGCATACCGAATGGTGACAGTGTCACAGTGAAGCGGATTGGGGAAGTGAGTTTTTCAAATGGCATGAGGCTTAGTAGAGTGCTCAATCTTCCATTGTTTAAGTGTAATCTCCTGTCGGTCAACAGGCTTACCCAGGATTTTGATGTGGCCCTAACCTTTTTACACGACTTTTGCGTCATCCAGGACTTACACTCCAGGAAGACGATTGGGACGGGTCAACTCCGTGATGGAATATATTATCTTCAGCTGCACGGTGTCGAGAAGCCTCAAGTCTTAGCGGCCAGTGGTGATACAGGAATGGGGGAGCTTTGGCATTCGAGGTTGGGGCATCCGTCACTGAAGAAGACACCATCGTTATTTCGTTCAGTTCAGAATAAATGCAAGCATGATGCTTGTGATTCTTGTATGCGTGCTAAACAGACGCGTTTGCCGTTTCCTAAGCACTCTATTAAGACTAGTCGTTGTTTTGAACTTATTCACGTGGATATTTGGGGAGGTTTCAGAGTTTCTACTCAGACTGCAGCTCGTTATTTCCTTACTATCGTAGATGACTTTAGCAGGGCTACATGGGTCTACTTGATGAACTATA